CATCTCATAGGAAATTATAGGCTGGGTTTAAAGACTGTAAGGCTGTCCTCAACTAGTACTAAAGTCTATCTAATCATAATGGAGGTTGAGTAGATCTCATAGATAGGTTCGTCGTTATATCTTCTGGGGTAGAACTAGTAGTCATGCTTTTCTCCTATATATTCCTTGCATTTGTTATGGAAGCACTAAGGCCAGAAGAGGGTTTAGTGAAGCTGGTGGTTGCTTCTCAGCGTGGGATGATCTTCCGTGTGTAGCTGAGGGGTGTAGCCTCAGTCTCATTAGGCTGCTGAGGTGCCATAGAAGTGGCGTTATTGCTTGTCTTGAAGTATATCGATTTCTTAGTATCTCAGAAGTTGCTTGATTCTTCCTTCCTGGTCGTTAGGTTCCTCTTTAGAGCTGGAGTCGTCCATACTAGGGGTGAACCTATAGGCGATCTCTGTCTGAGTGCGTTATCAGGCAACGTCGCAAGGTTTATCTAAGTTATAGGAAGAGCTTTCTCCTTCTCCGAAAGTCTAGTTGTTAGTCATACTGAGGAGTTATTATTCTATCAGAGGATTATGTTGGTGTTCTGGTTCTTCTTCTGATTCTTGTTGTTAATATAGTTATGCTTATCTGTCGTCTTCTTGCTGGATTAGCTCTATTTCCTTCTAGATTTGTTGTTCTTCGTAGTGGAGCTGCTGGCCAGTTATGCGGGGGGTGATTAGTTCTAATCGCTAAATTCATAGCATCTCGTTAAGTTGTTTAACTGGTTTTCTAGCTATTCTGCTGTTGCTGGAATGCATTATTACCAGGGTCCTAGGGCGAGTGTCTGGGATGGTCATATTATAACCAGACCGTCCAGGGTTGCTGTCCCTTAGGTAGTGTCCTGATATTTCTTTATCTTTGAGGTGAATTCAGCAGTTGTCGTCATAGTATCTAGTCCACGATTAGGATGCATATAGGGCTTTTGCAATTATGTTGACTTATTAAGGTCGTTCTGCTACTGGTCTCCAGGGGAGCTTCTTAGGCTGTCTGCAGTCTTTGGCGATATAGCCTTGCTTGTTGCAGTTGTAGCACTTAGGGTTCCAAGGCTTTTTGTTGTTAGGTTTGGTCATCATGCTGAGATCTATAGGTCTGCTGTGTTATCTGTAGGCAGTGCTCTGGCGGGTGTTATTCCAGTTGTTGCAGGGTCTGTTGTCGTTCTGCTGGCTGTTGAACTTCTGTTGAGGCTGCTATTAGTACTTACATCCTAAATTCAGGTTTTATCGTTTCTCTCCTCGTTCCTTTTGTCGTTTATAGAGGCGGTTGTCAACCTTAATAGCATGTTCAACGTAGGCGAGGAAGCTAGGAGGTGTCTCTAGTTTAGCTATTTCGTCTTTGACATCATCCTTAAGTCCTTAGTAAAAGGCAAAAACTTTGCTTTCGTCAGTTATGTGGAGTCTTGCAGCTAATTGCCTAAACTCTGCAGCGTAGAGCGTAGCTGACTTAGTTTGTCGTAGGTGGGATAGGTCTTGCTCAGCCTGTCTTCGTTTATCAGGGTCAAGGAAGAGAGATTCTAGGGCCTTAACATAGCCTGTGAAGCTGAAGAAGATGTCCTTAACTTCTTAGCTGTATTTTTCGACAGGGTTGTCAAGCTATTCCTGTTGAAGGGGTTTGAACCAGGTAAGGGCTCGTCCCTGAGGGAAGGTGGCTGCATATATAACATATTTAGTGTCGTTCTGGAAGGTGTTTATATAGAAGGCCTGGTAGGTTCAAACTTATACCAGGTGTCCTTTAAGTTATCCTAAGGTCCTATTGAAAGTGGAAGGCGTGTTAAGCTTGAGGCGTTCTCATCCTTCGACTGGGGTGGATATGATGTTAGCGGCAGCTTAGAGGGTGGCGACTTCTTTCTCTAGATCCTGGTTCTTATGGGCTTATTCCTGGAGTTTGCTAAGGGCTGCAGCGTTCTGGTTGAATATTTCGCGTATTACCTTGAAGTTGCTGTTAGTCTTATTAAGTTGGCGCTTAAGTTCTTCAGTGTTATCCTTGCTATCTGAGTCGTCCTTCATCTTCTGGTCTCCTAGTTCCTAGGCTAGGTTTTAGGTGGCTCGTCCTCTAGAAGTAGACGAGAATCCTAGGGTAGGCGACTTAACAGAGGCGTAGGAAGATATTATCGTTCGTTACTGTTAGTAGGAATTAATAGTTAACTTACTGAACAGGAGCAATCAAAGTGTTACAGTCAGCTATCCAACAGTAGGGTCTGCTAACAGAAGCTAGGGATTAATACGTTCTAACAGTACACTAGGTTGTAGTCGTAGGTTATAGTTTGTAGGCTGTAGTAGATTAGGTCTTCAGAGGCTAAGGTGATCAGTCTTAGACTTAATAAGTAATTCGCAGTGAAGGTAAGCTGAGAGTATCCATGAGGATGAATACTAAGTTGATTGCTGAAGAGCTATAGAAGTCTGACCATAAGCCAGGCTCAGGGTCATACTATATATAAGTCTAGGGTAGTTTCTTTGAACTGAGGACCGATATCTTCCGAGCGGTCCCCAGGTGTGGACCGCTTTCTTCATGTCGGTCCTAGGTCAGGACCACTTATCTCTCGTCGGTCCTTCTTATCGTCACGTGACCTATACCATAGGTTTTCCGTTCCAAGTGAGTCCCTGTTGTTCCTATGATCCTGCAGAGTACAAATGTCCTGTCCTAGCCGCCTGACGCCTAAGTAGGTCAGTCAACTGTTATCCATGCATAATGGGTTGTAACACTACTAGATACTTGTTATCAACAGCTACAAAAGCTATTTATCAGCTGAATTTAATAATTACTATAAGCAGAACAATATTGTAACCATCAGTATGCCTGCACACTTATGTTACGGTCAGCTATCCGACAGTAGGGTCTGCTAACAGAGGCTGGGGATTGATACGTTCTAACAGTATACTGGGTCGTGGTTGTAGGTTGTAGTTCGTAGGCTGTAGTAGATTGGGTCTTCAGAGGCCAAGGTGATCAGTCTTAGACTTAATAAGTGATTCGCAGTGAAGGTAAGCTGAGAGTATCCGTGAGGATGAATACTAAGTTGATTGCTGAAGAGCTATGGAAGTCTGACCATAAGCTAGGCTCAGGGTCATTATATATAAGTCTAATTCTGAACATATTCCTTTGTACCTTGGGTCGATCTGGATCATTCCGATCCAGAATGATCGTTTGGCCCCCAAGTCGTGTTGGATCATATTGATCCAATATGATCGTTATCTTATCATCACGTGACTAAGACCATAGTTCTTCCGTTACCGAGTGAGTTCCTGTTGTTCCCGTGATCCTGCAGTACAAATGTCCTGTCCTAGCCGCCCGACGCCCAAGTGGGTCGGTCAACTGTTATCCATGCATAACGGGTCGTAACAACTTATTACATCTACTACAGCTATTAGATATTACCCTTTATTCGCCTTTAAAATGCATACATAATGATGAAATCAACCTATTCATTAGAGCCTCTATAAATCATATCACTAAGTCAGAGTTCTTTATTGCCTTCTAACAGGCCCATAATAAGGTTTTTAATAAGGAAAACATCAGGTCTGCTTTCTAAGGCGCTAGAATTTCACCATAGGACCTAGACTATGTTATCAAAAAGCTTGATATATATTTATAGATGCCTACACCTCCTATAGCTAACCCTTCAACACTACTACCTTAGCAGTTATAAACGCCTTCTAACCTATAATAAACTATCTTATAGTCTAACTTTATTAAAAGTTATATCTCTACTTATTAAAGAAGCTTACTAACACTAATTATTACTGCAGTTAAGTAATTATTAAAGGATGCATAAGTAATAGCATACTTAATCACAATTTTGACTGATTAGCTTTATACCCTTAAGGATGCGAATATAGCACTTGCTAAGCGCTGGAGGGCTAAAAGAATGTAGGTCCAGCTTAGAGGGGCACTTAGTATAGAGGAATCTCAGGTTTTGCTTGAAGGGAAACAAAAAGGGAAACGTCCAGCACCTCGAGAGGATGAGGAGGGGGTTCTATTAAAGAGAGCCCAGCTAGCTTAGAGATGCTGTAGTGTGTGTAGCGAGACCGGTCATAATGCGAGAACCTGTTCTAAGGATATGGAATTATTAAATGATTTGAGTAGTAATGAGGAATAGTTAATTAAATGTGTTGTGGTTATGCAATAGTAAATACCACTATGTGGATGGGAAAAAGTTCGTTGCACACTGATATTCGTCGCTGACTGATGAACCACGTTATAAAAAGTATTAAGATTAATAATTATTATTATGTTTAAAATATATTATAATTTAAAAATAACTATAAAAATAAAGTTTAAAAATTAAAATAAACTATAACAGATATAAAATAGATTAAATTAAATTATAATTTATTTTATAGATAGTAGTTTAGAAGCATAATATAAATTAAACTTATAACTATTATAAACTAACTATAATATATATATAGTATTTATACAAATAAATAGCTTAATTCCTTTTAAATGAGTATCTAATATGAAAGGTCTTTTAAAGAACAGATTATAACGTACTAGAATAACATTAGCCGAGATAAATAGGTTAGAGGTAGGTCACCTCACACCTTCCTCTAGGCGTCAGGCTGCCTTAGATGCTTAAGGGCATCACGGCAACTTTCTTATTGCTTTATTGCTATACGACGTTCGTAAGTCGTATCAATTTAAGGGAAACAGCAGATGCCAAATTGCTGAAGAGTAACTTAGCTAACTACAACAGATAGGAAACAGTGCAAATACAAATAGTTAGTGAATTTTTCCAACCAAAAAAACATAGCAGTAACGCGTGAAAACTCTATGGTCCAGGTATTCCAGTACTCCAACCCGCCCTCTAATGTAGCTGAAAATATGTAGTGTATGTATGCTTCAATTAAATCATCGAACTAACCCTTCCCAGGCGCCTCTCTTCAAAACACGAAAATAACGTAAATATGTGGATGCTTGGCGAACACATACTTCAGACTAGGTTCAGCTTGGTATGTATACTGGTGATCTCATAAAGCCGAGACTTAACATGATGTTAGAGCTTCGCTGACTCGCTTCGCCTGCCAAAGACGTGGTAAAGCCAGGATGCGTCTCAGACTTTCGAAAATAGATCTCAAGGATTTGGTGATCGCAAGAGAAAACGCACCACGTAGAAGGCCGGATATGGGCTTCGTCGCAGGAATAGTCACAGTGTTGGTCGCAGTGTCGGAGGATTGACACGCGTCCGAATCCTTCATACAGTGTAAGTACCCAAGCCGTCTTATAAATTAGGATGATAGAGGACAGTGAGGCTTACGTTCTTGCTACTCCCATATAAAGTTGGAAATCGCGACGGGTTTCTCTTGTCCGCCTTCCTGCGCGTGGCATAGGCCTCGTTGGCTTCACATGTGCTCCTTAATGCCTCAAGCTCAATTGCAATCTCCCCACACTTGAATCTTTCTGTTGGCACGGCTTGGAGCATTCTGCTTTCGATGAGGTCAAGAAATATATGGAGTGGCTCTGTGCAGTTCTCGTCTTGATGAAGCTTCTCGATCCACTAGTAGGTCGTCAGCATTTTGCCACCATGCCCTGTTGAGGATTACTGCCACGATGGACGGAAAGAACAAGACGTCCTTACTTTGATAACAGCTGGCTTGAGGCTTGCCTGTCTCTCGCGACGCGGGACATCAGTTCCGCCTGTAATCACAAAGAACTTATCCTCTCGGACGCGTCCCTCATTTTCATCCTCGAGACGTAACGTAGTGAACGAGTCCTGAGTCTCTGCATATCCGAGGAGAAACCAGGAAACAAACTCCAGGAAGACACATCCTAGAGACCAGATGTCGTATCTGGGCGAGATCTGACTTCTTAGATCAATTTCCGGTGGTCTGTATGTACCAGAATATCCGGAAATGCCATCAGGTGGCACTGTTGACTTTGATTTTGCGGAGTTGAATCTCGTCAACCCAAAGTCGGAAATGACCAGGAAGTTTTGCATATTGTCATCCGTTTGAAGCCAAAGAATGTTTTCGGGCTTGAGATCTCCGTGTCTTCCCCATACCTGGATGTTTTCCTTGTCGTTTGACGCATTTGAGAGATCATCTATCCTCGACGATATGCTGATGACATAGTGTATCTTCTGCAAAGCCCGTACAAGGCCTATGCACTGTGTGAAAAGCCAAATAACATCACTCTTGACCCACGGGTCGAATTTTGGAACTTTTGCCCAAAATTCTCGGAGGTTTCCATCAGCCCAAGGAAAAGCAAGGTAGTAATGATCGGCGTGGAAGTAGCTAAATCGCAGCTGGATAAGATGCTTTGGATGGTTCTGCTGACCGGACAGCTTGTCAAATAGCTTCATTTCTTCCTCATACGCTTCAGGCATGGTGCTGTTGAGCTCTTTCACTGCGAAATAGGTTTCGCCTTTGCCTTTCTGAATCTGTAAGGCACTTATTAGCCACAAATAGCGTATTTTTGATAAGTCTCTGACCTTGCACGCGGCTCCCCTGATGTAATGAGACTCGTGAATCATTACCTTCCTCACGGTTCCGTAGCCACCTGATAGCGGTTGGTTGAACTGCAGGAATGGAAGTGTTGGTCTATGTTTTAGGTCGAAAAAAGGCCTTTCTTCTCCAGGCACTTCGAATATTGGAATGCAGAACAATCTCTGCTGATATCCAAATGCTTCCATGTCGTTGAATGACCATTGGCTTAGAGATTTTATAGGTTCCAGACATTCGTCGTCTGAAAGTTGCGTTGACCTCTTGCAAAGCTCCTGGCATACTGAATTGTTCCTGATGGTTCTCTTTACCACCAATGGAAGATCACCGTCTTCAATACCGCCTTTGATTAAATCGTCGATGAGATGAACCTTGTTGATGATGACGAGGATTGCAAAGATCTTCTGTCGGAGGGCCTTTCCTAGGATCTGAAAACTCAGGCGGTCTATATCTGAGGAAGGTTTACTTGTTGAGAAGGCATCGTGTAGGATATCGCGAACAGCCTCGATGTTGATGATCTCGCGCAATTTGTTACAAGGTAGGAAGTATTGGTCATCTTGAGCTGACTTCGCAAAGGAGCATCTTATTTGATTAGCAACTCCACCAACCGTGTGCGGTAGGTGCGTAGATGCTTCTGTATGAGACCCATGATCACGAGATCTTGTGGAGTAGTCGGAATCTGACAGCGTGTCAGATGGCTTCGTGTTGTATTGACCGATGCTTCCTTCGGATGCACCAGGTGTATCAAAATGATTATCGTAAAATGAGGGCACCCCGAACCCAGAACGTGATTTTGCCGAGGGGGATAAAGAGTATGAATGTTGGAGTAAACAATCGTCTGACTGAATAAGCAATCTCCTGTCGAGGTTTGACGCCTTATGGTCGGATTGAAGATTGTTGGATGTGAGGGACATGGGCACCACTCCAGTGTTTGCTGTGATGGATCCAATGCCATCAGACTTGTGCGTTGTATCCGTCACTGGTTTCATGACCGACTAAAGAATATAAAGCATCAAGGGTTGAGAGATATTCTACCCGACATAAAAGGGACGCGGAACCTAAGCGCAAACCTTTTTCACGCCGGGTGACATGAAGCCCTTTTACGTCTGGAGTTCTTGGTCTGAGGCTTCTAGTGGCCCCCAAAATCTCAATCGCCGTTTTGATCGTTATCATTGCGTTCAGCCTACTGCCAAGACTCCAAATCGTCCACAGAGGCCATCTGACTCGAGAAGGCTCAACTAGCTAGATAAAAACCCATTCGTCGACACCACCAGCAGGTCTGAGCAGCCACAAGCGCAAACGAGTTACTGGTCTGCCTCGCCGGCCAAGGTGGCTCACCGCGGAAATAAATCTTTACTCGCGAGCCTTGCAGGAGCAAGAAATAAAATGCTTCTCAAAGATCACTCGAGGTGGTCATCCGGTACGTTCATAGCCTCATTGGCATTCATATGGGTGTGTCCAGATGCAGCCTAATACATTGTTGAGCCCAAGAGGAGTGGTTTTGGCACAGCCTCCACCTGATAAAACACAATGTCTTGACAGAATGCTCATCCGCGTTTTGCGAGGTTCGAGCTTAAACCTTCACCGAGAGCTCTTACTCAGATGGCAGGAGGGGGTGGTCAGCAATTTCTGCACATTCATCGCATCCGCATCCTGAGACCACCTACATCTGCAAATAGAAAAAGTGGTCATATTCTTATGACCTGTCTGCATCCTTCCTCGACTACTACCCTACAAGCTCCTCGATTTCTGCCTCGTCAAGGCAGCTATGGCCCCCTGGGCGTCAGCCAGACACTCTAAGTTTAGGCTCTATTCTTGACTTCTATTACTGCCTTATAACATTTGTTTAAAAAGCCGGCGTTACCTGCAGTTAGAACAAGAGTCTGGAGGCCTGGGCGCCTCTTCTTTACTGCTTAAACTTGCTGCTGAGATGGCATGCACTCAAGTTTCGACGAATGTCGCTAGAGTTGAAGGCGACACTATCAACGATACCAACGCCAGCGAGACTGACAATCATGAGATCCATTCAAATCTTGTCAGCTCATCGCAACTCCTGAAAATTCTCGAGGATCATTTGCCGATCGACAGTTTCACCATAGAAATGCGCCATAGTATCTACATCGTCCGGGTTAAAAAGTCTGGTATGGCAAAAGCACAAGCACTTTTCAAAGAATTTGCCAGCGGAATACCAGACGACAAATCTTGTAAGACGTCGGACTCTATTTCAAATATTGTCAATTCTAATTCATGACCCAAGCCTGATACCGTACCCGCACCCTCAATCGTTGAGGGGGAAATGTTCTTCGATTGTAGTTCTCAAGGGGAACAAACGCATGGGTAGAAACAAGCCTACGGAATTTGTTAGCCATATGTATATATATCATGAAAATGTATAGGAAGATACCTACTATAGAGAAGCCAGTGTCCATCGGGAGACACAAGTAAAACAGGGAGAGGGCTCCATCCACTATACAATGACAGACATTCCCAAATCCTCTGAGACATGCTTCCGAAGCAATTTACCCACGCCTACTCTTTTGTACTGTCTAAACTCAGCTTGCGGAGCCTTTGTGACAACCAGAACAAAATGTACAGCACTGTCAGGAGTGCTGGCTAACTTATCAACTCCAAGAACAACACAGAAAAGCCCTTCGATGCCCGAGTGTCTTGCATCGTCAAAGATGATTCTTTCCGAGATGTCGGAGTCCTCCAATTTCAGCTGTTTGACTCGACAGTGAAGCCAAGGTACAATTTCGTTGTTAGCGGCCTCCCAATGCTGCTTCCTTCCGCTTTCGGTGACGAAAGGGGACAACACGTGGTTGGTCCAGCCTACATGGTCAAACATCGCCTCCATGTAGCATATGCCGCCGGTGTATGCCATCCACGACCATGTGGGGACGTGTCTTTTGACGGGGTAGGTAATTGGAGCGAGAGCCGTCTCTCCTCGCCTCTGCCAAAGGAGGCTCCGATGCAGGTAGCCTTCGAAGACTCCAAATCCGCCCTTGGTCGAGAACGTCTTGACAAGTCTTCCCTCGAGACCTTTGATTGCAATTGAACGATCTGTAATGTTTGTGAATTCAAGCGCGGAGTAGGTCTCGTACAGAGCCTGGAAAAGTAATATTCTTGCGCCCTTGAATAACCCCAGGGCCGATTGGGGGAAGTCGGAATCGCCAAGAAAGGCGGCCTTGGGGCTGGCAACATGAATGAGCATCTTCTCACAGGTTTTGCTCTTCAACGGAAACTGCTGACTTACTTGACAAGCTTCATCAAGCTTTCACAGTGAATGCCCGATCTGCACTCCCAGTAGACCTGGGTCGACGTGAAGTGAATGGTGCGTCGCGCAAGTGCTCTCTCTTGCAGAACCCACCCGCGCTCATTCAAAACGGACTGTTCAACATCCTGCCAGAAATCGTCGCTGAATCTGGTGATGAGAAGGCTGCTCCCTGAAGGCGTTCTGATGGCGACTCGTGGCTGTTGCGGTCTCTTACTTAACCAGAATCCTTCTGAGGATGACCTGGCCGAGCTGGCAGCAATGGTCAAGTTTGCCGAGCTGAAAATGTGCTCCATGGAGTCCGCCTCTCGTTCCCAGTCATCGGGGTCGTCCTGAATAATGCACAGAGAGTCGATCCAAAGATAGCGAAATCCCAAAGCCATGGTCACTCTAATAGCATCTCTGAAAGTTGCCGGGAGGTTGTCAAATTTAATACGCTGCTTGAACGCATCGATGTTACTCTGGAGAGTTTTGAAATGCTGACCAACACCCCAACAGTGACTCAATGCAACGTAGCCTTCTGACATGGATGTAAACCCATCACAGAGGCAGAGGTTGGGCTTCTCTGTGCTTCCAAGATCAAGAACGCGGGTAGGAAGTTTGTTTCTGGGGTTGAAGTGGTGGTTGTGTTGTTCGTCGCAGACTCGTAACCATTCTTTGAACAGCGTGATCTGTGAGTTGCTGCCTGGCTGTGGCAGTTGCGCCCACCCTATCTGCGCCCAAGACGGAGATGATCCGATTTCCATGTCGTCTTCGTCATGAGTAAATACAAAGGTTCCTCTTTGAGACAAGCGACGCGGACAAGATATACACATACCTGGATTAGTGTAAATCGACAAGATTGCTTGGTCGTTAGGCCCGATCCTTATCGTTGAGCCGGCTCGACGGCATCTGAAATCGCTATCCCCGAGACCGATGTCGCTTGCAGTCTGATACAGAAGGCCGCAAAGAGAACATTCTTTAGACCGGTCGCGAATGACCTCCATTGGATCGGAAATCTCAAAGTCAATTCTTGAAAGTGTAACACATGCAGAGCACAAGTCAGAGAAGTGCTTTGGAGTCAAATTCCAGTGTCCGAGAGAGCCGTTGAAAAGACTTTTAGCGAAAGTGTTGTCAATCATTGAATCCCACTTGCCATTCAACTGCCCAACTTCCTGGTACAGCAGATATATGTCAGCTACGAAAATTACGCTGGAATAGAAGAGACTGACGGTCTGTAAATGTTAGAAACATTTGGAATTCATGTGTGATGTTCATTGACATCTACAAACCATCTAAATAGTGAAAGTCAGCTTTCTTGTAAGCCACGAGAGCGGGACGTATATCGAGCGGGGTGCGTTGATGGAAAGGAAGGGGTTATCACGACATTCTGTCAGCCTGTTAGAGTTTTAAAAACCTTCATATCCATCAAAGATGATCACAAACATACTGCAATAGGTGAAAACTGTTAGCGTCTCTGTATATTCATTGTTTGTCAAGTGTTGATAGCTGCGCTCACTATTTTATTACGCATCCACGGGGAAGACGTCGAATCATCTCCTGCCTTCATGCCACCAAGGCTAGGATCATATTGGGCCATGACATCCGGACCTGCAGCCCCCTCATTAGCTGCGCTCCAAGACTAAGTAGAGGAGGGACCTAGACTGGGAAGGCTTTTATTCAGGAGGTAGCTCTCCTCTTTGCCCCTTCTGCAAACATTTCTCAGTGCCAAATGAACATCCGAGACCTTCGACCGCGTCTCCCAGTCTGGCACGAGCATCTTCTCAGAGACCAACACTAGACACTCTGTCAATGCAGTCTCAGAACCGCCGATGACTAGATTTCTGCGCATTTCTGTCACCAACGCTTTCACTTCCGAGTGTAGCTGGGGTCCGTCGTCAGTCTCCATCCAGAAGCGGTCGGTATGCCGGATCAAATCATCCAGCCGTCCCCAGCCATAGATTGTCCACGTCAAGAATTCCAAGAAGACGCAACCCAGAGACCAAACGTCAAAGACGCGAGACAGTTGATTCGTGCGCCTGAACTCAGGTGGTTCATACCGCAAGGAGCCTGTCTTCGCATTTGTAATCTCCTGGCGGTGTCGAGTGATGTCGTCGTGTATCTTGGCAAGTCCGACATCCGCAATGCGAAGAGTTCCTGGAGAATCACCTTCGTGGAACAGAAGAATGTTCAAAGGCTTGAGATCAGTGTGACGACAATTCTTGAGATGCAGCGCTTCTGTTGCTCCAGAAAGACCACGAAGCTGATTGAGAAACCATCTCATAAGTTCTGGGTCTCCAGCAGCTCGCTTCGTGGGCCGTTTCCAGAACTCTTCAAGGTTTCCGCCCTCGGCCCATGGGAACAAAAAACCACACAGATCTGAGCCACCGCTTCGTCTGTAAGCAGCCAAGGGTTGTATCAAGTGATCATGCTTCAATTCGCGTATGATACGAAGAGAAGCTGCCTCCTTCAGATAGTAGTCATTCTTGTTGGGAAGCATCTCCTTCATGGCGATTGACTTAGTTCCGAGCTCAATCTGACGTCGGCTTTTGTGAGAAACGTTTCGGTTCGGATAACTGTCAGTGACACTTACCTGCATGTGATCTTCGTGGATCTTGACTTCATAGACCGAGCCAGCGTAGCCCCGCTTAGAATGATCGTGTTTCTTCAGGATTGGAAACGGACATCGTTGGGGTAGGACGAATTCAAAGACGTCAGCAGTGAAAACCGGAGCCAGGAAAATCCACTGGTTTTCGGCGAAAGAAGTGACGTGTGCTGCGGGCCACCCTCCGAAAGCTTCCCATGACAAAGTTGATCCTCCATGAGTCTGTGGCTCACGCCAGGTTGTGACAATGTAACGCTCGGTCGTGCTATCCCAGTCGCACTCAATTGGAAGATCTTTGTCGCTAAAGCCGGCTTGAAGTAGCGAGCTCAGATGTTCTAAGTGACCACACAATACCAAGATCAAGAACACCTTTTTCGCTGGCCCGGTCTGGCTGGTTACGTATTTCACTAGCTCGACTATTGATGGATTCAAGGAGTCATGCCGGAGAACAGATTCAAGATACCCTTGAACCGTGTCCAGACTGGAAAGTTCGTTGATAGCCGCATCGGGAATAAAGCCCTGGCCATCGACACCCTTGCAAAGTTTTCCGCGTACCCTGTTTTCAAGATTCATGTTCGGCACCTGGAATTATCTTATCTCGGTGCTAAACCTTGGCGAGTCTCGAGAAAGTGCTGGCTGATGAAAGATTGCTTGAAAAATCATGTTAGCAAAATGGCGCCTTCAGTTTTAAGGCCCAATCCCATGAAGGGGTGAAAATCACCAACAAGCTTTCATCGCACTTTTGGCTATATAGGATAAATGTAACTTACCAGGTGTCGGGTCAATTCAACCAAGCCGTTCCGAACGATGAAGACCTTGGCATATAGGTTTGGAGGCTGTGTATGCACATAGGCCTTCAGTCAAGGGAGGGAGACTGTCGCTAAGGTCCTGTTGATTGGAGAGGCTGAAGATCACAAAAAGAGGCACCAAAGTTGGATCTGTTGTTACAATGAGGAAAAGAACTGGAATGTGGTGGAGGAAAACGAAGAACATTTGAATGTATAGGTGTTCACTCCATGCTTGCTGGCGACACAGCGGAATCACCCGCCCAAGACCAGTTTTAAAGCTTGGCAATACCTTATCATAGGCATTCTCATGAAGTCACTTACTCCTTGCTGTTATGAGATGTGACATATAACGTTGGTACGAAATGAACACACCATTAGTGATTGGCACTGACCTCCGAGGTTGATTTGAATCGTGGGTTTACGACTTGGACGGCATGCCGGCTGCATGACCCCGCTCTGAACAGAAAGAATATTTGCAGATTGGGAGACAAGAGTTTGGAATTTGGCATGCGCTAAATGCTCACCGACCTGCCAGTGGTGGGTGAGATTGTTTCTCTGTTGGCTAGCCTGATTCTGACTTGCATGCTCGGCTGCAATATGCACTGCATGTTGCCCGATTATGAAGCTTTGGGGGACATTCAGGGCGGCACGCAGCAAAGCGAGCATCACACGCAGGAAAAAGTGGGCAAGAGAAAAGAGTGAATGAAGATCATGCAGCATAGGCTTCTCTCTTGATAGGTAGACGGTCTCTCAAACATTGCTGGTTTCTCCCGGGCCAAAAGAGCTTTACATAAGAGGGAGGCGCGGGCTGAAACCATAGATACACAATCCCAATCCCGGCGGTATCTCACACACCTTCGGGTGGGTTTGAGTCAGCTGTTACAGGTTAGTGAACTTCCAAATCCCGATGATGACTGGAAAACAGCTGCGTGGATATGCCTTGCATCTGTAGGGTGGTGGACTCCTGGAAGCTGCCCCATTAGTATTATCTTCGTACTTCATGAGTTGAGCTCTTCTCAGTCAGACAGCGTCCGCGCCTTTGGTTATGACATGGCCTCCTCTCAATGGACGTTGGGCATTTAAACATGCCAGTTTCTCGACGTCTTCATTCAACGCGCGGTGTGTTCCCACAAGGCAATGCTGGCATCCATTGATCCATAACTAAGGCAACGTCTGATGGAAACTGAATTGCTACAACAACAGATTTCACATGAGCTAGGATCAAAACCTTCGCAGGTTCTGCTAAGAATCCTAAAGCAAAGATAACACTAAAGCTCATGAAACAACAGCGACTTGACGCACCGGTATAAAAGAACCACAAATTCACACTGGAACTGACAATTGAAAATATACGTCTCAATGTCTCCATTACAGTCGTTGTGTCGGTCACAACCTGTCGACTCAGTGCACAGCCTTGCTGAGTGCGTCTTGACCTTTGTGAAAGTCAATCCATTCAGCCAACTTCTGAATCCTCTTGCCATCTCCCGTCGTAGTAAAAACAAAAAGGCAATCAGTGCCGTAAGACCCAGCCGCCGTTTCGCCCTTGCTGGTGCGTACCATGGTCACCGTCCTCTTCTCCACATCGGTGAACATTTCATTGATGGTGATCTTGAACGACTTCAAGTGCTTGAAAATATTCGCTGCGCGGTCATTGGTGCGGAACCTGGACCTAACGTTAATGGAGTCCTTTATTGAGAGATGGGAAAAGCCTTGGCCAGAGACTCACTCTTCTCTGTTCATTGGGTAGATACCGTTCGTATCCGGATGAACCGCGTAGTGAATGTCTTCAGTCCATTTGGACACAACGTTCTCAATCGAGCGGCTTTCCAAGTCTCTTAGCCAGCCGGAGGCAGTACACTCGAGGGTTTCCTTGATGGGCATGATGGGTTTTGGGTTTCAAAGAGAGGGTATCTTGATGAGAGTAGTGAGTAGTGAATGAACAAATTGTTGATGAGTCTAGGCAATCTTCGAACCAAGACATGACCGGACGACGTCTATTTATATATTTCTGCCCTAAATCTACGCATAGTAGGCAACAAACACAAAACGCGGCAGCTTCATCAGTGCATTGTCGTTAGAAATCGAAAGTCCGCCCTGCTTTGTCAAGATATTTGCGGAGCATTCAGTACTTTCGCTGTTACTCAGCTCTCCACTGCTCGCTTTCGGTTTCTAAACTCAACTAACCGCCTTGCTGAAGTCGACGCTTAGACCAAAATGCAGCTTTGCCATTGGACCAAATCCTTGCCAAGTATCTCATAGCGGCGCCGGCAATAGAGCCCCAGCTAATTAATGGCCAATGGGACGATACCGGCCGTTCCTAAAATTGAGCTTCGGCACATACCCACGATAGCTTCGCAACCGCAATCCGCGCGTCGCGCGCGGCACGCGTTTAGCCACGAGACGCACTTTTGCGCACTCGCGGACTGCGTCTTGGAAGTGGCAGAATTGCGGACTTGACAGTCAAATCATCAAGAAGATCTTCAGGGTTTTGAGGTTGGGCTGGTTTGTAATGCGCGAATGTCAAGCCCATGCTCTAGAGTGTTCCACAACGCATAACACTTAAAAGGTGGCTGTTCTCAGTTGCAAGTAAGATCGCATTGGTGATAAGCATATTCAGTTTTGAATTAAGAAAGAATTCCGAGTTCTTGTTCTTCGGAACGTGACCTTTTACAAAATATCCTCTTCACTCCAAGAAATTCTCCATCGCCCACAGCTACCTAAACATCATGCCTTCCCAGAAGCTCCTCATTACCGGCGCAACAGGCTACATGTGAGTCTCTAGAACCAAGATTAGTTTCTCACAATTCGCTAATATGACTAAAGTGGCGGCACTGTGCTAACCCAGTTGCTGAACTCCACGGCTCCGGAGACAAAGTCCCTCTCTTTCAGCGCCCTCGTTCGGCATCAAAGCCAAGCCGGCACACTTGCTGAGAAGGGCATCCAACCAATCTTGTTCAACAGCTTGGACGACATCGCAATCCTTCGACAGGCAGCGGCTGACCACGATGTCATCATTCATATCGCCAACAGCTTTCACAATCTTTGCCGAGATTGGGAGTAGTAGCTTCGCCGAAATTGCTGACAACATCGGAAGAGCCGGGTTGAAGCTAGGAGCGCTCAAAACCGCCAAGGCCTCATCAATGTCACTCGAAAGCATTGCCCGTGATCAGTTTCACGGGGATATGAAGTGGGCCGAGATTGTCTTTGGTTCAGAATCGTTGGTAGCTGCAAATCTCTCAAGGGAGATTGGGTGGAAGCCGAAGAAGATGGCGGGGGATTTGGGTGGCAACATTCATCGACGAGTTTCGGTTGGTGTTTGGCGAAGCAAACGGAGTAAAGGAAATGAATTAAAGAAGGGTTGTATCAGTCTTTGTCCTTGGGGTTTCTGAAATACGAATTTTGCAGACGTCAAATCTACGAAATGTTCCAATTATGACTTTCGGTCGCCATGTCCAAGTACCCTTTCTGGTAAATAGTGACGCACGCAGCTCAAGCTTTTCAATTGATCTCATCATAATCTCATTTAGCATGACACCTCCAGCTATAAACATTGAATTGTACTTTTTAACATTGTAGGTTGGGTAAAATGCTGGAATACCTTTGTTGGCTACTATGATCGCAGAAGGCTGTGAATGGAAATGGGACTACAACGAGTGCCGGCGGTACTTAGGGGTGCTCGTCGACAGCTACAACTGCGATGGCATTGATAACAAACAGGGAGGTACGGTGACCAATGAGTGCTATTCGTGGACGATTGATCCTGACGCCAAGCTGTGAGTGGAAGGATGAGGTGGTTGATGCCTGTGCTGGCACATCGCCCCCACTGGCTGCTGTTTCCAATTTTGGAATCGGGATAGAAGTATATCAGTTCAATCAGTTCAAGGGGTTCTCGCTTCAAAACAAGATGCAAATCGTCGTTCTTTCTAATCTGTCAATACACTTCATCTAACTAATTCCTGCTTTTTTCCAGCCATTCGGAATATCTTGCTAGGTAGCCATCGACGCCAACAACGGGTTCGGCGGTCTGCTAACCTCTCTGATCCAATCATCCTGCTCGCGAATAACCAAATGACGAGGCATGTGATAGTCGACCATGAGCCTCGTCTCCGACGGCAGCGGCTCATTCTCCATCACGTCTCCCATGGCGCTCAAAAGGTCTGCACGCGAACTCAGAAGCAAGGGATGCACAGCTGAGAGGTAGTCATGGATCGTTACAAAAGAACCAATGGCGGGCCTCACCACCACGATAACACTTTTCCCTCGCGGCCTTTGGGTTCCGCAGCATTTCAGTAAATGTAATGGTCCGTCTTCATCCGAGGCCGGATCATAGTCGGGGAGTAACCCCCAATGGATATTCGGGTTCGTCTCCTCCTTCTTAACCCCATCGACGTAGTCGGGGTCGGTATGCTCGCGGTGGCATTCAAGCCACACGTCTTCCCACTCGTTAAGGTCATCGACAACCACGGTCATGGATGAGACCTTGGGTTCCGTGAGCGCAGCCTGCGAGAACGGATGCCAGGCGTGGTTCTGGAAGTAGGGCTCCAGAGAGCTCGTGTCCCTTTCGGTTGCCATAATGCGGACGTCGGATTCAAGCGGGCCATCAATATTCCAGAAGAGTCGGCGGGCCTCAGAAGAAAGCTTTGGAAGTTGGTGAGCGGCGCAGAGTGCGTCGTGACTAGGAATAAGTGCCTCACCCTCGAAAGTCGACATATTGGTCTAATAAAGATCAAGTCTGTCTGATTGAGAGACTGAAAATGATTTGTTGGCTTGTCGCAATTTCTAGCGCCTAATTCAGCCTGTGAAGACGTTGTTGAGAAGGGAAAAAACACGCCGCAGAGAAGCATGTGGGCGGCGGGGTTTGTATAGCAAGTCACTTCGACAAAGTCCCGCTTATGGACCACCCCTGCAACAGGCTCCAACGGTTACATCTGCGAATCATGACCCAGGCCCAATCCACGTACGGCACAGGATCTTACACTTTTAGTTTTGCTGCTTTCAAGACCTGTCGCAAAGGCTACCTTGAGAATTCTTTAGATCTTCTGAGAGGTTGATGGAAGACCTGTCCATGCGAACTTGTAGCGTTTCAGGCTCGTTTTCTATGGACGAGTCTTTCTTCCCTTCTAACTTTTCTTTCGCTTTATACGCAACAATGTGGCTTACTGTGGCCCATCAACATCGCACGAGGATGAAGGTCAGAAACAAGACAAGGTGTCATCCTGTGCATACCTAGGCAGGTAATTGGTGGTCTATCGGTACTTCCCTGGTAGAATGCTGGAACTTGACCTCACAGGGTCCGCCGCAGCTTGCTGTATATGAAGAAAAGAATTACGCCGCAGCGAATCAGGTCGTCGCGGGGTTATATAATTGACTATAAACAAAATTTGGTAGGGAGTAAAATATAAACATAAATACAGAATAACATCATATAACTCCATCCTCCATTCAAACAATTTTGTAATTCTTGGAATCTGTCATCCTCAGCCGTTGGCGCTTTGCCTGGCTCGTTCAGCTTCCACTCCCTTAGTAGTTCACCCGACCCAGATGGGCGCCGGTAAACTCTGCAAAGTAAATGGCGTCCGGTTGCTGGTTGTTAAGATCACACGGGGCACTGACGCTAGTGGGAGTGACGTACTCCACGAGCTGCTGAGTCTCGGGGTCGTACTGCGCAACGCGGTTTCCAAGGAAGACCAGGTTACCCTCTACAAAGTAGACCTTGCCATCGTTACCGACACGGATCGGACCAGGCAACGCCAGTGCTCCGGAGGAACCGATGCTAATAAGACCATTCTCAACAACAGTGGAGTTGCCCGCAGCGCGGATGTCGGCGATGAACATCTCAGTCACCTCGCCCGTCGTGATATCGATGGTTCCAAAGTTTCCACCGCCCGTTCCCGTCCACCAGATGAGTCCATTCTTGTCCGTCGCGACACCCTGAACCAGGGACAGCGGTGTTGGGATTTCGTACTCCTTGATCTCTTTGGTGTTCACATTGATGGTTCCGACCCTGTTGCCCAGGATTTCCGAGAAGACCATGGTGTTGCCCGGGCCGGCTTGGATAATGAGAGGGGCCGAAAGGGGGTTTGGCAGCGGGTACAAGTCGTACTTGTGGGTGTCAATGTCAAATCGGCCAATGGCATTGAGGCCGACGGACGTGAACCACGCTCCACGGTCGCGGCCGCCGGCGACGTCGATGGTGACACGGATTCCGGCAGGAAGATTGTCGAGAACAGAGATGTTGGTCCAAGGGAAGGGATATTCGGTCATGCTGCCATCCTTCGGGTCCAACTTCACCATGCTGTTGCCGACGACTTCGGAAAACCACAGGTTACCGTCCGCGAGGAACTCCATGCCGCTGGGGAGTCCAACAGGGTTGTTCAGTGGGAATCTTGTTTGCTCGCCGCTCGTCAGATTCACCCGCAGGATCGTGTTTGATGCAATGAGTTCGACCCAGGCAATGTCGAGTTGGTCAGGGTGGAACTCCGTCTCGCAAGCGGTGTCGAGTAAGGTGACAGCAGCATATTCCTCGAGTCCTTTCTCCCGTCTAGGCCGGTTATGTCCCGGAGTTGCACTGACGACAGTTGAGGAGCCGAGTAGAAGGCTAACGAAAGTTGAGGTCTTCATTTTTAACAAAATATCAAGCGGAAAATGAGCGACGATTGAGTTGGCAAACAAGGCGAGAAGGACTGACGATACCAAATGCTGCAAATTGATGCCACTCACTTACAGCGGGATATTGCTAGAAGTATATAAACACGCAAGATTCCCGCCAAGGGGTTGTTCACTTGCATACCTTACGTTTTGGGCAGAGGGAAATTTGACCTGGCAAATACGGTGCAGTCCCTCCCTACACCGCTGGGTACGAATTAGTCCATTCGGCACGTGGCTCGGGGAATTTCTTGTGGTTGAAAGCTGACTCGGTTTCTCGTTGTCGGCACTTTTCTGATGTCCGCTGTCATGGAGTCTGCTGGAATCTGATGACTAGAACCCTTGGCCGGGTAATGAGGTGGACAGTGTGCCATCGCAGGCGGGTCCTCCTATCCTTCCTTGTCTTCCTCTTAGACACCGCTTTCATCTTCTGCTTTTTGAGTCCAGGCCGAGAGCGGCCACCGGCCCTGGTAAGGTTGCCCCGTACAGAATCTCGGTTCGGCACAAACCGGGTCCCCCCGGGCTGTCAGACAAGGTTTCTTACGTCGCGGGCCGTCCATGGCTACACCCGATTTGTCTAGCAGCCAACGCGTTTCGTCGTCTTCATCCTGTCTCATTACCCGTGGCCTGGGTATCCTGGCGGTAGCCAAATCAATCAAAAGACGTGATTCCTCAACACCGTTGTGAGAAGACTCCCCATCCCACGGATACGACCCAAGTGCCAGAAGCACTGCATACAGCAATCGAGGGCGATTCTGTGGGAACCCCTCATCACACGACGCTGGCCAGAAAACCCTCACCACCAGCATGGGCCGAGGTGACTGGGCCGCAGGCGATCCAGGTCAGGTGAAATGGTCCTGTCACCTCAGCTGACACGGCAAGTACGGATATCACTAGTGGTCAATGACCTCTCCCGGAAGGTCATTAGGAGGCAAGATGGGCATCCACGGGGCGACGGGTATTCCAATGGTCTCGTCCTAGCACTCGAATGTGCCTCGAATACATCGCGGATAGCTTGAGGTTTGGAAAAGTGACTGATTGGTTGATAATTATTCCAAGAAGTGAGCGTTTCCCGCCGCGGGAATGCATTCCGAAGTGAGTTTCGACTTTTTGATACCACAAAATACTTTGACGGAAGGATCCGTCTTGGGATGAAATTACAAGCGTGTTCAAACGGACCATTCCATGGGCTCAACAAATATTGAATGCCGATCAAAAGTCAATCCTCCCGTGAGCGACAATCATGGTCGCCCACCAGAAGCCCATCTCCCTTATGGCAACTGACTCGAGCGTTCTTCCAACCTCGTCAGGGAAATCAGAAAACTCCCATTTCTAATATCCGTCAAGACTATCTTTCGCCCCCAAAAGCTGCGCCCGAGCACCATGCAGAATCCACCGGGTCCATAGCAACCAACTTACGAGCACCCTTGACGAACGTAACGTGGGGTGAACTTCTTACCCACCGTAGCTCACAGACCCCCTTCGCCAGCTCCCAGTTGCTCATCTTGGATGGGCAGGAAATTCAACCACGGCCCCTCATTAATGTATCGAGCAAACCCACTCGCCTTCATACTATCACTGACCCAAGGGGAGACACGACGGAGGGCATTGAGCCACCATGTGTCCATAGCCTCATAGCGCGTGATGTAGCCAGAAGCGTTCACGATGAGGTCGGCATGCGGCCGCTGCTTCTTCTCGTACTCGTCGAACGTGGCGGCCAGTTCGGTGGTGGTCGGTTTTCGCATGCCATCCTCCTCGCATCTGCGCAGAAGGGGCACGAGCTCGTTCATAAGGTGCACAACGCCCTCCACTGCGAGATTGCCCCCTAGTCCCGGGTTGACTGTCGCCTTGTGCACTGCGTCCCCCAATAGGACAACCCTGCCACCGGAATTCCATTTTGTCTGAAGCACTCCCTCTTCGAGAGCCACCATGCTCGCTTTGACTCGGGTGTCCCACAGGTCCTTGAACGTGTATCCAGGGCCGAGGTTGCGGTCTCCATACTTCTCGATTGTGGCCATTGTTTGCTCCTCGGTGAAGCGCGGGGTGTTCGGGGTCTTGGTGACTTGGTCACTTTTGACGAATAAGAACCAAAACACGATATCGCGAACACCGGCAGCAGAAACGCCAGAAAAGCCGGGGTAGTAGACGTTGTGGACCATGCGCTCCGGAAGAAACAGTTCTCCCTTTGCGTTCATGTTCCTTGAGGTAGCAAAGATGGCGTGATAGGTGCTGACATAGCACTCCCGCATCTTTTGTGCGGCGGCGGCATCAGTGCTGTCGAGCTTTTCTGCTAGGAGACTCCGGACATGGCTATGGACGCCATCGGCGCCGAGCAAGATGTACCCCTTCAGTATCTCGCCGCTCTCCGTCGTGACTTCTACACCTTCTGCGGACTCGACGAACGAGGCCACTCCGGAGTTTGTGCGAATGCGAGATTTGTCCTTGATGGTTTTATAGATACAGCTAAGCCAGAACTTGCGTTCCATGAATGCTGTACACCGGCCGTGACACCTGGTGTTGCTTTGCTTCAGCCACATATCCTATAGAGCATGTGCATTTGACTTACTGCTTGGATATCTCCTGCAATATCGAAGAGTCCTCGAACAAAACACCGTTCTCATCATAATGTTGCCTGTTCTCAAGGGGTAGTACGCCTGCCCTGATTTCAGGCCATACCCCCAACTGCTCCATCACCCGCTGGGTATGCGGGTGAATGGAGATGGATGCTCCTAAATGCGGAGCGATTTCACGCTTCTCCAACAGGACGTAAGAGATCCCGGCCTTCTCCAAAGCCAGTGCAGTGGTTAGGCCCACCAAGCTACCACCAGCGATGATAACCTGGAACCTTTGTGCCGAGTCTGCCATATCGTCGGTAAGCATTCTGTCAGAGGTATTCACTGTGTTGTCTGGAGCTGTTGTCCAACGACTTGGCCACAAGACCCTCCGCACTTATATGCACTGCTGCAGGGAACCAGCCCTAGTAAGGCGGTACGTACTTAGGCGGCACACATCGCCTGAACCGTTAAAGGTTGTGGATCTTCTCTATCTACTTTGGGTCCTGGGCCTGGCCAGGCACACAAGTTAGGGGTGGAGCGCATCAACACAGGGAAGAGATTTGATACGACACGTGCGTTGTAAGGTCACGCCATGTAGTTGAAAATCTCCGACGTATTGAGAAATCGCAGCGGCGCCATCCTGGAGCATTCCAGAAAACATTGATGCAGCGTTGAATGAGCTCCCATTACGCCCCGTCAGTGATCACGCACATCGGCGCCGCCGTTGAATCATCACGGAGTGTGGGATTGATCGTCGCGGTAGCCGTTAGCAAGTTCACTGCTGCCAAGGGAGGCCATGCCGGGGGGCGTTTCCGGCAACATGATCATCTCGTACTCAAAGTCAAAAAAGTAGGGCGAAATGTGGAACTCCTCTGCCGTGTGTTGGTGCGCAAGCCAAACCAACCAGATACCTCTGGGTACCAAAGCAAGAGGCGAGTCAGGTCTGGTAGCGATACCGACCGCCCCGTCAGTCTGCAGGGCGGTATCAATGAATCCATCTCCTCGTGGCCGATCACTCGCTTACTACCTAGTACAACAGCATCAAGGGTTCATTCCCCATGTTCGGCATTTGCAGACATACAGTGGAGAGCCCCTGAAGGATTCGTAAGTTCTGGCAAACATCGTTGCCAACTCATATATAGTCGGAGTCAACCGGAGTGATGCAGGCTCCGTGTTTTCAACCCCCTCTTGGCACTTGCTGCTCTGTCACTGACCACAAGCTCCCCTCAGCCAATTCATCCCGGGCATCGATTCCCGAATCCTCGAGATGTCAAACACTGCAAGTTCGGAGCTTGGCGCTGATGAGAAGTATGAGATCGCTGTCTCGTATGGGACCATCATATCAACAGGTGTTTTGGCAATCTTGGTTTGCAGCACGAGGGTATGTAATTGAAACTGGGAAAGATGAAAACTGCTAACAGTTGGTGTCCTGAAAGCTTTACGTTCGCAAATATGTGATCAACGCCTTTGGAATTGACGATTGGGCTTGCCTCGTTGGTTTGGTGAGTTATCTTGTCAAGGGTACCGTCCCTCAAGACCGCTAGTGCTAATGAGTGGACTAGATCTCTGTAACCATGTTCAATGGCGTTGGGCTGGCTATTGTGCACTACGGCGTCGGGAAACATATTCAACATGTTTCACAAGAGCATTTAGAGATGTGGTTCTTGGTATTCATTCCCCTTCAAGGCTTATCAACTGCGACTGCTTCTAATACGACATTCAGTTGTACTACATCTGCATCTGCACATACTTGTTTGTTTCTCTAGCCGTCAAGTCCAGCATCCTTTTGTTACTGCGGCGGGTGTTCCCAACACGTAGGTTCCATGCTTTACTGACATTTCTCTTCCTGTTTCCTGCTGATCTGATGTTCTCTTTTAGCCTATATTCAACACACGACGCTTGGTCTGATGATATTCCTTGTGCTCTTCACGATATCGGGCTCGATCGTTGGAGCATTTCAATGCACCCCGCCCAAATATGCGTATCAACTGGAGTTCCTCATGTCGCCCGACAGGGCAAAATACTGCTTCTCCACGGATGTTACCTATGGAATCTTCATGTACCAGGCCGCCACACTTTTTGCCTGTGACATTATCATATTCCTCCTTCCATTCCCTGCGTTGGTGAAACTTCACATTGGCTCTGCCAAGAAGACGGCTCTCTTGTTGGTCTTTGGAAGCGGCTTAGTAGCCTGCATCGCGCCCGCCATCAGGTTCGAAAGCATACAGTTCTACAAGTCTGGATCCTCAGACACAACTTGTAAGTTCGAAGACTTGGCTTTCGCTAGACGTTGGCGAGTTGCTAATGATTTTACTCCACAGACGCTGGAGCGAGCTCTTTGTATTGGATGGCCATTGAGTACAACCTGGGCCTGGTGGCCGGGTCATTAGCGGGATTGCGGCCTCTGGTTTCCAAAGTCGTCACTGCGCTGCGGTCAAGCAGAGGGAATTCAGCGTACAAGAGCAACCAATTAACGCCATCTTATCAGCTCGAAAATTGCGACAATAAACATTGGAACTCTTCCGAGCGCAGTGGGACCAAGAACAGTAGATATCAAGGGGACAGCGTCCTCGAAGCCACGGTCTTGGGCGACCGCAGTTCCGATGACAGCGGCCGCCAGCACATACTAAAGACCCAATCTGTCAGCATTATTACGGAGGAATCGGGGGACGTGGCTTCGCTCGGGAACGCACGTCTGCCCTGGCAAGGACTTGACCAGAAGAAGTAGTCACATCAATGTTAATGAGTTGTCAAAGGGGTTTAGGGGAGTCTCTAAAAGTGACAAACGCTTCCCGGCTGGTTTCCGGTACTCAGATATCTCGACCAAAAGAATGATCCAGAACAACATTTGTCCAGTCACTGACAGGATGATGGCTCAGTAGACTCCGAAGAGTCTCTCGGCTGCAGTAAAGTCGGCCCCCATGGAGAAGATGGCGGAGACTGCAGGAGAAGGAACCGCCACCGTTGCCAACTTTTTTAGTTGACCTGCACTTCGAGCTTGTTGATTGTTGGCGAAGAAGCGTTGCACATCGGCTTGCCTCGCAAAGTTGTCCATCACTGTCCCGTATGTAACCTCAGCCTATTGTGGCATGCCGTCGATTATTTTTCAAAGCTTTTCTTCCAGGGTCAACAGTCCTTGAATCCGGTTGCTTCCCAAGCTTCGCCATCGATGTTAGAGATGGCTCGTGATAGCCTGTCGAAGTTGGGGGCTTGGGCAAAGTTTCCCAAGGACATTGAGCCCGAGTGCAAATGGTTTGCATGACTGAGTTGCCAGGCGGCATAACTAACGGGCGTCTTCATAGTCGCCTATCGTAAGCGAAGATCGACACAGAGACAGCTTTCAGTAAATCCATTGGGTAGGCTAGGTCCAAGAATAAGCAGCCTGGAGGCAAGGTGCGGTGGTTTTACATGAAGATATTGATTAGGCGACCACTCAGAAAGACTTTGAAAGGCGAGAGAAGGGTTGCAGATGTGCTGCATGATCGTGAGTCTCTTGCGACCACGGACGGGGGGATCTGGATCGGATTGGCTGCCTGATTGTGAGCCAAGAGCTAATGACGCCTAGTCAGCAACACAATGAGGGGAGAGTGGTCAGAAGCTAAGCGAGGCGGAAAGAGTAGAACAAGCACTTTCAGCCAAAGTGAAGCTAGCCGGGAGTCATTGACAATCCGATTCGTTCCTGGACGGACAAGGAAACTAGAATTGGTTGTTGACGGATAACCGATCGGCGACGACTGGTTATCACTGAAAACAAAACATGTCAGCTACCGGGTGTTATTGGCATGTCATGATCTACAGAAGATGCAGCTCCGCCCCCATAAAGCCAGGATCTCATCAGATCCATCGGCAGGCATTATCCATGACTGCTGCCATCCATTAAAATACCCCTCTGTAGTACCTCAACCCTAGAGTTACAGGCACCTTAGTGCCCTGCATCGGGCTGACGGTTTCTTCTACAGTAGCCAGTGTAACAGCAAATGGGTGCGAAGCAGAATGACACTTCGAGGCTTCCGACCTGTCATGACCTTCCGAAACCATGGCGCAGCCCTTAAAAATGCATGAGCCCAGCCGCACTCAGCTTTTGGTCACTTTTGGCCCACACTTCGCCATTCGTTACGAGATGTCAGAAGTGGTTGACCCGGCATTTAACCCACCCCTATATGGAGCTCTACCTCTTTTGCTCTATGACTTCTCGCTATTTTTACCGTCTTCCGCCAAATCAAGACATATCATGGATAGTCCACGCCCAAGAGACCCAGGCGATGCATTACCCAGTATGTATCATGCTGTATCCGATATATCAGAAGACGAGACTGCCTCGACAGTGAATCGTCAAGAGCAACAGACCCCCGACTTACTGCCGACAAGAGACAACCACGATCAAGGCGTTGACTTCATCTCTGGGCCCAGCGAGCATTATGCTGTATCAGACATATCAGAAGACGAAGCTGCCGAGGCAGCGAATCGTCACGAGCGAGAGACCACCGACTTACGGCCGACAAAGGACAACCACGATCAAGATGTTGCCTTCATCAACAAGCCTCGCGAAAAGGGAAGCGTTGACGCTGCCAAATGGATCGTCTTCTATGCCGCACTAGCTAGCCTCCCGATGCTTGGCTTTTCAGCTGTGCTTCTGGGCATTCTTATCAAGAATTGGATCGAAACCGTTGATTCAACGAGCGATGATGCTGCTGCTTTAGGCTACTATATAGTAGACTTTCCTGCTGCTCGGCTGATCTTTGTCTCTTCATAGAGTAGCAGCGTTGCGCCCCGGCTAGCCAGTGTTGTGATGGGTCTCTATCTCTTCAGAACCGCTAAGGCATTACTCAAAATATCGTCCACAAACGAAATGGCTCGATTGCCGACACCATATCAACTGGTACTCCTAACAGGTCTGTCGACTGGCTCACTTGGGCATCTTTGGAAGTACGTGAAGTACGGGTGGACAAGCAAGCATAAGTTTGCTTCGTTGATCAAATCAACCGGTGCCGTTCTGATAATTTTTCAACTCCTCGGGTGAGTAAGACAAGCTTTGCTGGTCGTCCCAAACGCTTCCGGATGTCAGGCTGATGATACTCTTCCTCCGACAGCTTGGCAATTTTTGGAATTGATTCTTTGCTCCATTTTACAACCGAAGTAAGTCAACGGGGCTTCATAATGCAAAGTACGGAATAGCTGACGATGCAAACCCATTTTAGGCTGTGCTCTATATGAGAAACTCGACTTCAGACGCCGTGCAGCAGTCATTTAGCCGAGGCTTATCTAGCTGATGCACTTCGCTCGACGACTTCCATGAATACCCATGCACTTACGTGCGAGCCGTTA